TAAAAAAATATATGTTGTCATGTAAAAATTTTGGATTAATATTTATATATATTTTCATTATTTTAGCCTTGCGGGATTAGGTTTTTTTTACAGTGGAAATGCCATAAATAGCGAACCAAGATCCTTATACTTCTTAATAATATATAATTAAAAATATTAAAAGCCAAATTTTTACATTGACATCTGTGTTAGTGTTGTGATTATTCTGAAATAAAAGGAGTATATTATTGCCCTCTTTTTTCTCGTTTCAAATTTTGAGACGCCCCATCAATATTTTGAAACGGTGGTAAAAAAAAAAAAAACTAAATAATTTATATTAATAATCCAATAATATAAGGGGAATATATTTTATTGCTGAATTATGTATAAAATACACTTTGTAGTTTAGGGTTGGGGTCCCAAATTTAAGTTTTTTGCTTCGGGCCCCAAAAATGTCTGAAATGGCACTGAAATTCTTGAGACACTAAAAATAGAAACGGAAAAAGTAACGAAGGATAGGGAGTAGAACATATAAAACGTTATTGGTAATGTTAACCAAATCAAATGAGAAGGCAATCATTCATTAGAAAATTAAGGACATTAGAAAATTACTTTATACAATAATAAAGAATGAACCCCATAAAAAAATAATAAAGATTGAAGTCGTTTGCACCCCCAAAAAAATTAATGAATGAAGTCGTTCGCACCCCCAAAAAATTAATGAATGAAGTCGTTCATGTGAACGTGTGATAGACGACTTTATTTTTTTTATCTTTAATTTATGTGAATAGAGATTATAGACACTTTCAATTCAACCTAATGTTATAGGAAAGCACGTCAAATCAGCAACTTTATACTTCTTTTCTGTTTAAAAAATCATACATTTTTTTTTTTCGGCTGTGTTTAAATAAATAAAATGTTTTCTTTTTAGTAAATTCTCTATTTTCAATAATATTCTTACTAATTTTAGTAATACTATATATTAAACCCCGCGCAATACATATAACGACAATAAATTTTACTAAAGAAATTGATATAAAATATTACGTATAACCTCAATATTAAAAAGTATTAAATATTATATAATATGTGAAAGAAAATAATTAAACATGTAATACATAATAATTTGTGTAAAGTAAAAGTCATAATTTAGATACAAACCTTATTTTTGTGTAACAATAAGATTTTTTTTTTTTTTTTTAAATTTCTATTTTTAATTTCTTTTTAGAAAGTAGTTTTGCCTTTAGAATAATGTAATTGGTTCTACTATCTAATGATCGCCACAAAACCCCTTACTCTCTTCTCATTCCTCAAATTTACACTTCGCTACCTATTATTTTAGGGATTTGTTAAACGTCGCCCGCAAATCTCCACATAAAGCCCACAAATATTTTTACTTTGACTCTTTTGCCCTTTTTCTAATTTTTACCGAAACCGTAATTCACTCTCACGAAGAATGTGGAGCTGGAGTGGATCGCCGAGGGTCACCGAAGAGCCGTCATCGTCGCCGGAAAGCGAGATAATCCGGGGGAAAAATTACGAAAAGTAGGGGTGGCGTCTGGTCAGGACGCCGCCACCATGGCTGTGGCGTCCTGGCCAGACGCCGCCACCATGGCTGTGGCGTCCTGGCCAGACGCCACCCCTACTTTTTGTAATTTTTTTTATTTTTTTTTTTTTGTAATTTGTTATTTTTTTCTTTTTTTTTTTCTTTTTTTTTTGTAATTTTATTTATACTTTTTGTAATTTTTTTAAAATTTTATTTAAAGTTTTTGTTTTTTTTAATTAAACATTAACACAAAAAATTCTGATTTAAAAAAATATATATACATTAGAAATAAAAACATTAACACATAAAACAAAAATATTAAACATTAACAAAAGAATTCTGATTTTCCAAAAAAAAAATATATTAGACAAAAAAAAAAAAAAAAGTGGTAGGGCGCCTGGCCAGGACGCCCAGCCCCTGGTGGTGGCGTCTGCTCCGGCCGCCGGGACCAGGGGGCTGGCGTCTGACCTGGACGCCCAGCCACAGCGGTGGCGCCTCTGGAAAACGCCACAACCGTGGCTAGGCGTCCAGGTCAGACGCCAGCCCCTAGTTCCGGCGGCCGGAGCAGATGCCACCACCAGGGGCTGGGCGTCCTGGCCAGGCGCCCCACCTCTTCTGGTTTTTTTTAAATTTTTTTTTTAAAAAAAACCCTGCCACCGTGAGCCGTCCTTCCCTCCGCCGCTGTGGCCGCCAAGTCCTTGCCTTGCCGCCTCAATATTGCCGTATTTTCGGGTGATTAGAGTGTGGGTATGGGTTAGATTTTTATATTTTAGGTTTAGGGCAATAAGGTAAATTCAATATAGATTTGTGGGCTTTATGTGGAGATTTGCGGGCGATGTTTAGCAATCCACTTATTTTAATATAATCAACTAACCTTTTTAAAACTCCTAAAAAGTCAAAATGTTTCATTTACTTAAACACGGAGGGAGTAGAAAATAAGCAGGATTATTCATGATAATTTTTTGGTTTTTATTTTTCAGTTTTGTTGAAAATAAAAAAATCAAAAAGGAAAAAGATAAAGGTAGTTTTCACTATTTTGTTGTTAGTTTTTTAAATTATCATAATTTTATTAGGTTTTGACCAAATTTTAATACATAATATGATTTATATCATATGATTTTATTAAACTAAAATATTAAAACTATAGCTGTTTAGGGTAAAATTACCCATGACAAATGGACCAATCCGGACCTGCCACCTGTCCACCACGTGGGCCAATCAGCGTCCGCCACTTGTCACCCTAAGAGGTCCAACACTGACTAATCAGGTCACATCATGTGGCCCATTATCCGCCAACCTGAAAAACGGCCATCGCAGGCCCAATTCCCGAGGCAAGCCCAATCAGTCCTAGGTTTTCCTAGAATACCTAGTATCGGGCACGTACTTTGAGGCTATATAAACATGTCATTAGCCTCCATAAACAACATAATCATCTCACCTAGAGAAGTCAAAACACATTGATCACTCCTCCCCTAGTGGAACCAGATCCTCCACCTTTACTTTCCGCACTTATTACTCCTCAAACAAGTACTAACTTGACCGTTGGAGGCGGAGCTCCCACCACAAGTAATCTCCGTTGTTTTGCAGGTACAGGCGCAAGGATACCAGTCCCGGAATTGTAACTCTCCCGCAGGACATCAAAAAACCCCGAAACAATAGCGATACCGATTAACACAATCAAAAGGTTAAGTAAATGGTTGAAGTCGTATTATGGTATGGTTACGATCTTCCTCTTCTCCAATGTTAGATATCTATATTTTATAAATTAAAAGGTATTTTTAAAAATGTGTATGTGCCATGTATACCCCTTCTTATACCAGTATTGTTTCGGGGTTTTTCGGTGTCCCGCGGGAGAGTTACAATTCCGGGACTGGTATCCTTGCGCCCGTACCTGCAAATCAACTGAGATTGCGGGTGGTGGAAGCTCCGCCTCCGACGATCAAGTTAGTACTTGTTTGAGGAGTAAATAAGTGCGGAAAAGTAAAGATTGGAGATCTAGTTCCTCAAGGGGAGGAGTGATCAGTGTGTTTATACTTCTCTAGGTGAGAGTAATCATTGCTGAATAGTCTTAAATGGAGGCTTAATTACTGTATTTATAGCCTTAGGATGTGTGCCTAATTCTAGGGTTTTTGGTAAACCCTAGATCTGACTGGGCTTCTCTCGGGAAGTGGACCTAGGTGGCCTCCTTCCAAGTTGGCAATCAGTAGGCCACATGGCATGGCATGACTGGTCCATGGTGGACAAATGGCTGTGTGCCATGTGGCAGGCCCTGAGAAGCCCGATTGGAGGACACTTGGCAGGACCTAATTGGTCCACGTGGTGTACACTGATTGGGCGGGGAAAACCCCCTAATCAAGTATCATGCCACGTCACCATTCAAAAACTTTAGTATCACCACTTCAGCATGCATTCGACAATCTTTATCCTTGAGATTATAAAATAAAAATGCATATGAAGAGGTTTGAACACCAAAACTCACTAAATGAAAACCACATGTGTATTACCATCTTAGAATGTAGAATTAAAAATCCAAAATAATTTATAATTTATGTTTTTCTATTGTATTCTAATATACTCACAATCAGGGGTGGTTCTGAGCATGTGCAAGGTGGTCGATCGCACAGGGCCCCTAAGTGAAACTACTATAAAAGGACCCCGGTTTTTGAATTTAGTAACATATTTTTCCTAAAAAAAAAAAATTTAGGGCCCAATTTAACAAAATTGCACCGAGCCACTTTCAGTGTTAGCATTTATAACCCCGCCTCTGCTCACAATAAATAAATATTTACAAATCATTTAAACCGTTCAAAATAAGTAAAAAAATTATTCAAAGTATTACCCGGAGCAATGCCCGGATCACATGCTAGTTCCACTTTAAAAGGAGAGCATATGAGATTTGAACCCGTGAATTTGCCACTTTGGTTGTTGATACCTATTTAGAGGACCATTAAATTAATGGTTGAAATCCCATAATTGTATTTATACTCTATCAAGTAAGTTATTGATATAAACCAGTTGTTGGCCCGACCCATGCCCCGGATCTAATGTAATACATATGAGATTAAAGATAAATTTACAATAATTTTAATTCCGTATATAGCAACTAATTATGATTCATTAAAAATAGTTTGCAAAGTGTCACATTAGCCTCTAATTAGTGATTTGGATGGTCCACAACTTTTATAAGATGCGAGTTTAATGTTATTGGATTGAGCATTGAAAATTCTAATGCAGTGTTATGACTTTTGATTACCATAATTTTTTAAAATAGACGGATGAGATTATTTGTTTTTTAATTTATCTTTAATTATATATATATATATATTTCTAGAATTTCAAAAATATTAGAAAATAATTTCTAGAAGATAAAAAGATATTTAAATAATTAAAAAATTATTTTTAATTAAAATAACTAATTAAAAATAAATTAAAAAACAAATAATCTCAGCTGTCTATTTTAAAAAGTTGTGGTAGTTAAAAGTCATAAAATTACATTAGAATCATCAATTGAGCCTTGATATTTACATCAACTTTTTGGGCTCTACGTGTTTGAAAGATTTTTTTTTTTTTTTTTTTTTTTTTTTTTTTTTTTTTTTTTAACATAAATGAACAAGTATGACGTACTTGTGCTACGATTAGTAATTGTAATTTAAACCATATTAATAATCAGTTTCATATTAGTTACGGATATTACCAAACGAAAATAATTTTTAAATTGTAGTTATTGAGTTGGGTTGACTTTTATGTTATTTTGGCCAGTTATTGCCTTCCATCCCCTTACCTATAGTAGCAAATTAAAAAATTCTAACAAATTGAAATAATCCTTGGTCTCATGCATACTCACACGCAACAACATGCATGCTTGATTGGGTGATGCTTTCAATTATAACGAAATAGTATATACGAAGTATACTATAATCACCCAACAACTTCTATAAAAAAAAAGTTCCAACTTAACATTATTTGTTCAATAATCTCTATTAATAAGCATTAAACAAGCTTACAGAAAATACTAGCTAGTTTTAATGGCTTTAATATCAGGGCAAAAACCCCATGCTGTATGCATCCCATACCCGCTGCAGGGTCACCTAAACCCAATGCTACAGCTAGCCAAAATCCTCAACTCTAGAGGCTTCCACATTACGTTCGTAAACACCGAGTATAATCACAATCGTCTGCTGCGATCACAGGGGCCTGAGGCCCTTGCTGATCGCCCATCATTTTGTTTTAGAACCATACCGGATGGGTTGCCCCCTACTGATGCTGATTCTTCACAGGATGTCCCTTCGCTGTGCGCCTCCACCGAGACCAACTGCCTCGAACCCTTCAAGGACCTCATCGCCCGCCTCAATGAGGCAGGCGATGTGCCTCCTGTGAGCTGTATTGTTTCAGATGGTGCCATGTCTTTTACGGTTGATGCAGCTGTTGAGTTTGGAATTCCTGATGTTTTGTTTTGGACTACTAGTGCTTGTGGTTTTTTGGGTTATGTTCAGTACCAAAAGCTTATTGACTTGGAACTTTTTCCTTTCAAAGGTAATGTAATCATGGATTTCTTCATTCACTAATTTCTCATCAATTTTTTTTTTTTTTTTTTTGTTTAATCCTATGTTCATAGTTTTAGAGATATGTCCATTTATTTCATATTATTTGCAATACTTGATAAGTGTGGGTAGAATATATCAAATCATTGTAAATAATATGGAACGGAGGTAGTATGTTTTTTTATTTTATTAGATCTTCGTGTGTACCTTGTATTGTGTATAGAATGAAATTAAATGCACGTAATTAACTATATTAGATAGAGACCAAAACTTGACATTAACAATTTGAAAATTTTATTTTTTTAATGGCTTTTTCCATTACATAGCACATCTTAATGAGAAAATACAAGTTTATTACTTTGATAAACAAAATATGTTTATCAAATGACAAAATTATAAATAAATTAACAATTGTGGGTCTTTTATTTATTAAAATTTTATTTTTTAATGGCTAGCACATCTTAATGAGAAAATACAAGTTTATTACTTTGATAAACAAAATATGTTTATCAAATGACAAAATTATAAATAAATTAACAATTGTGGGTCTTTTATTTATTAAAAAGTTGAAAAATATAGCATGCTGCGCCTAGGCAAAATTTTGCCATTTGATAAACAAGTTTTTTTTTTTCCTTTAATTATTATTATTTTTTTATGAATAAAACGGCACGGCATTATATTAATGAAGATCCAATTCCGCCAAAGTTTGAATTGAATTGGGGCAAGTTTTGTTTATCAAAGTGATAAAATATGGCTTGCTCCATATTAATTCAAGTGATAATATAAAAAAGTCAAGCTCACATCTGGAAATAAAGTTTAAATTGAATTGGATGGGAAAAATTAGTGCATAAGATATCGGATTAGATCAAATATTTTTTATATTCAAAAGGTTTATTTATCAGTCATCACGAAGTACTATTATCATTAATATAACTACGGGGTATCATTTTGTTTCGTAATTATGCTCTTCATTGCTCACAAATTCACAATGTAAATTTAAAGTATTTTTAATTGTTGTATTTTCTGTAAGAAGAACAACAATAAATATTTAATTTTTAGGGTAAAAAAGATGTCATGTCTAGACTCAGACCCGAGTCTGATTTCGGATTTGTGGATACATTCAATGGTAGAAAATGAATTTGGACTAGATGTGGTTTGAGTGTTTGACCCACTAATTAGTATCTCTAGTTATTGTAGCCGATAAGGGTATATTGTATTCGTCTGATCTTATTCCGTCAAAAAAAAAAGTTCTGATCCTTTTTTTGGAAAAATTCATGGGAATAATCCCACCTTTGGGCCGTTCGTTTTTAATAATCCTACCTTTGGATTATTTTTTAATAATTCGACCTTACCCCCAATTCTTTCTTAATTTGGTCCTAACCGGTCATGTAACCTAATATAACAGGTTACATGACACGCGGCCTGTGATTGGTCAAAAAAAAATTTAAAAAAAAAGTTAAATTTATTTAAAGAAAAAATAAAAAATAAAAAATTAATTACAAACCAGCCCAAGCCACCACCCTTCTCAGTCGGAAACCACCATCTCCTTCTCCTACCCGACCGAAAACCACCGAACAACCACCACAGCTCCACCCCCTTCATATGAAACCACCGCAACCCCACTCCCCCTTCACCTGAAACCACCCCTTCCACTCCCAAATCTGACCACCCCACCCCCTTTCCCTCTCAAATCCGACCACCCCACCTTCTTCCCCTCTCAAATCCGACCATCCACCCCCTTCCCCTTTGAAATCCGACCACCCCACCTCTTTCCCTCTGAATCCGACCATCCACCCCTTCCCCTCCCAAATCAGACAACCCCACCCCTTTCCCCTCTGAAATCCGACCACCCCACCCCTTTCCCCTCTGAAATCCGACCACCCAACCCCTTTTCCCTCTGAAATCCGAGCAATCCACCCCCTCCCTGCCGCCATTGTCCACAGCAACCCTAAACCTTTGAAAAAAAAATCTGATTTTGGGGTTAGGGTGGTTATCCGTTTCCGTTTGAGGTGGTTTCGAGGTATGGGAGAGGGGCTGCAGTTTCGAAGGATGGGAAGGGGCTGTGATTTATCGGCGTGGGGGAGTGAGGGGGGTGGGGGTTCGTGGTGGTTGCGTTCGGGGTGGGGGGTTTAAGGTGGTGGTTATGGTGGGGATAGGGCTGGGTTGTGGATGGGGGTTTGGGGTGGTGGTAATGGCTGGGTCTTGTGGAGGAGGTGGCTGGGTTGCCTTTTTTTGTTTTTTTTTTTTTTTTTTAATTTTGTTTATTGATTTAATTTTTTTTAAAATTGTATAGTGACACGTTTATTTAAAACCAAAAAAACAAAAAATTTACCTTTTCAACCGGTTACTGATCACCCGGGACAATTAAAAAAGAATTGGGGTAAAGGTCGTATTATTAAAAAATAATCCAAATGTGGGATTATTAAAAACGAACGGCCCAAAGGTGGGATTATTCCCATGAATTTTTCCTTTTTTTTATGGGTATCTATTTAAATTTGAACTTATCCAAACTTAATGAAACTTATCTTATTACCTTATTAAAATTTATTTTAGGTATAATGTGAATTTGGATAACTCTCATAAAAACTTATTTTTCCTACACTGACCTACTCTAAACTTATTAAAATATTAAATAAGTAAAAATAAGGTAAATATAACATATTCTAAGTGATATTTGAATTAAAACTATGGAATAAAATATAATTTATACTCCTTTGAGTATGGAGTTGATGGAGTATGATGGAGTTGTGTTGTGGTGGTAGCGACTAGGGATATATAAAATATTCAATTATGTCATCTACTCATTTATAATACTCCCTCCGCCTCACAATAATTAACTCATCTGACTTTAATTATCAACTTTGACAATATTTTATTGTTAGTCCCTCTGTCTCATAATACGTCTTATGGGTAAACCAAAATACAATGCCTCTTTTTATTTAAATGTTGTACTTTTTTGACATTATTACTCTCTTTTTGATGAGTTGTCATTTTTTTTATCTTAATGTATAATTAATATTATAATAACAAGTTTTTAATAAAACTTTATTTTATCTTATAGCAATAAAAGATGTAATAAAACTTTATTTTATCTTATAGCAATAAAAGATGATAAAAACTGATTAAAAAAATGTCAAATGTATCAATTATTCTAGTATAGAGGTAGTGGTTGTCAAAAATTTCAATTTGGGGCTCCAAATTAAAATACAGTAAGTGTCAAATTATTTTCAATAATACTGTAACAGTAAAAGCACATTTAAAAGACTATAACCATTATATATTAACAATGATGTTTCGTTATTCTTTTTTACCATTTTAAATACTAAATACCTTGCAGAATCTGTACAACAAATGACAAGTTGACAACTAAAATGAGACAAACTGAGTACCCGTGAATATTAAGATTTAGGGGAGTGTTTGGTTAGAATAAGGGAAATGAAGTGGAAAAGAAACAAATAACAGGAGAGAAAGAAATTAATTAACCGTTACTTTTTCATTTGTTTAGTTTAACTATAGAAAGAAATCATTTTGTGTTTGAGGGTAAGAGTATTTGTTACCGTAGGTTTTAGTAAGGTAACAAATGGGTGAAATCCCTTACCTTTTTTTTTTTTTTTTTTTTTTTGTAAAGATCGGGTGCAATCCCTTACCTTAGATAAAGATAATTGTTACCAAACATTTAGTAATAGTAATGATTTAACTGAAGCAACTCCAATTTAAAATATACACTAACCAAACATGCTATTAATATTAATAGAAAAATGGGAGCAATCAATTAATTAGGTAGTTCTATATTCATGATCTCTCACAAAGTCAAAAGTGAATGATTAGTCCACATGCAAAATCCAAGATAATGATAGGTGTGTTATTATCTTTAGTCCTTCCCTAATTCTTATTTGATTTTGTTAATTTTTTATTTTTTTTATTTGTCGTTAACTATCTATTTTAAGTGCAGTATGATTTTAATTAATAAAAATTAATGGCGTTTTGAATTTCTGTAAAACAATATACAAGTGATTGAAAAGTCTACATGCAAACCCCAAAATTATGTGATGCATGCCAGACTGCCAGAGTACATAAATTTCACCTTGTGCAAGTTGCTGTCATTTGCTTTAATTGCTACTCCGTAAATTTAGAATTGCTTATTAGCTACATAGGGTCCGATGACTCCGATCCTAATACTAATGAATGACGCGATACACACTAGAACACTACTTATTGTAGTTAATTAATTACCTTGTGTGTGCATTGAATTAAGCTTCGGCTTTGAAATTGTCTAATTTAGTGTGTACAATTTTAAATTATGTAGATGAAAACTTCGCTACAAATGGAGACCTTCAAACAATCTTAGATTGGGTACCTGCAATGAAGGACATCCGAATGCAAGATCTCCCAAATTTTATAAGAACTACAGATCCTAATGACTTTATGGTCAATTACATTACACGGCTAATTAGCAAGATAAAAGAAGGATCCGCGATCATTTTTAACACCTATGATGTGTTGGAACACGATGTTCTTGAAGCTCTCTCCTCCGATTTCCCTTCCCTTTACACTGTCGGTCCGTTGGAACTCCTCGAATCCATTGAAGATTGCAATGATGATAAAACAAAAGCAATATCTACGAGTTTATGGAAAGAGGACACACGTTGCCTTGAATGGCTCGAGTCCCACGAGCCAAACTCTGTGGTATACGTAAATTTTGGAAGTGTTACTGTGATGACTAATGACCAATTAATAGAATTTGCATGGGGACTTGCTAATAGTGAAAAGCCGTTCCTTTGGATTACTCGACCTGATTTAGTCATCGGAGATTCAGCTGTTCTCCCACCGGAGTTTCTAGAGAATACGAAAGATAGGGGACTTGTTACAAGCTGGTGTGATCAAAAGCAAGTGTTGACTCATCCTGCAATTGGAGGGTTTTTGACTCATTGTGGTTGGAACTCGACAATAGAGACTTTGATCAATGGTGTGCCAATCGTATGTTGGCCATTCTTCGCGGAGCAACAGACTAATTGTTGGTTTTCTTGCAATAGTTGGGGTATTGGGATGGAGATCGATGTGAATGTGAAGAGGAGTGAAGTTGAGGGACAAGTCAGAGAATTGATGGATGGAGAGAAAGGGAAGGAGATGAAGGAAAAGGTGATGGAGTGGAAAAGGCTAGCACATGAGGCTGTAACTGCTCCAAATGGGTCTTCTTACAACAATTTGGACAAGGTTATCAAAGTGCTTCAATCTTCTGAATAGTAATTTGATTGATTTCTACTACGGATTTGTTGGACTTTTTTTACTCAAGAATTTGAATTACTAGCATTTGTTTGTCTTTTATTTTTACAGGAATTTGAAGCGTTTATTATTACAAGAATTGTCACAATACCTTTGTTTTTTAAGTTGTTCATGCAAAATTTTGTTTTTGTAATTTAAAAATCTAATAGTGTGATATATATTCCCTCTGTTTTTATTTAAGTAATACAGTTTGACTGACACACTTATAATTGTACAATTTGACTAATGATATCTTTATTACCAATAAGTATAAATTATAAAAAGTTGATATTTGAAAATGTGCTTCGAAACGATTCTAACAAGTACTCATTGATTATATTTCATCTTACATATAAAGCACATACATTGATCAAAACGGTGCATGTAAATAACATAAGAAGTATTTCGATAACAAATTTTTACTTTTTTTTTGTGACTTATGAGAGATTTGGGCCTGCCCCAAAGCTCCAAATACCAGGATGCCAAAGCCCAATTTGGAATCAGTCCAATTCTTATTTAATTACTCTGATCCCCAATTCGTGATCTAGATTTTATTGATCAAACGGCGTAAATTCATATCATAGAAAATGTTTTCGATTTACTTTAACTCATTGTTAGGAAAAGGACAATAAACTAAAACTAAATCTCATCCTGAAATAAGAGGGAGGTCCATCTCATGTAAGAGTAATAGGAGTGTACGACCAAATCCACCTTATATTAGTTTAGTCACTGTCTTGAAGAAGGCCAGTTTATTTGTTTGTAACTTTGACACTAACCATTACAATATGAAATGTCATAGACTCGTAGGGTCAAGAAACTCTTCTATTGATTTTTTTTTTTTTCTTTTCCAGACATTTAATTTAAATCAAATTATCAATTGCATATATGTAATCCCATCATCCCACTAGTTTTGCTCCATTATTTTTTTAAATATTCCATTAACTTGCCTAATATTTCCTATGTTTATTAGTTTTATTGAATTTTTAAAAAATTTCTTTATGGTTTGAAAAAGTCCAATCCGTTACAACTTACAAGTAGACGATAAATTAAGGATTCCTCTTGATAGAAATGAAAACCATACACCTAAGCATAAATGAAAGGAGAGCTTTCAACTACTACACCAACCGTGATTCTTATCGATCAGATACAAATTGAGTGGCGTTAATTGACGTAAATGCTTGAGCTAGTAACTAGCTAGATTACGTTCTTACTAGTCAAATGGCAGCTAGCTATCCATATTAATAGCCACAACTTTTGCAGAGGTGCTGTCGAAAGGGGATGGCATCATACGGCCGGTCCATTCTAATCAGCAAAGTACTTGGCGTTAAAATTGTTATGCTTAGAAATTAAACGGAGTACAAGAGATCAAGAGACACAAGACACATACTATAGATATTTTTGTTAGAAAGTATGGAATACATGTTAGGAAATACTCCTACTTGTACAAACTCTAGTACAATGAAAATGTGGGAAAATAAGAAAATAACAATATACGTATATATTCAATTACACTTACAATCTAAGCAAAACAAGTCTAGAATGAAAATCACAGATGAAAATAAACTAAACTACAAGTATGAAAGTTATACACTTACCTCACTCCAAGCCAATGAATCCAACAAGAACATGAGAATACCAAGGACCAAGTGAGTCTTCAATACTTGATACTCGTCTAAGGCGTGTAAACACTTTCCTAAAGCGATTATTTCCCCCACAACGGTGCTTGGGTTGAACTGGAAATTCACTTTGAGATACAATAGACGAACACTACGATCTTAGCACTAAGAGTGGTAGTAAGATGATCAAATTCTCAAAGAAAACTTAAAATGATAGAGGTTTAGATGAAGAGATTGCAAGTTTCTTCAAATAAAGTGTGGAGAGAGAACTTTTGGGGAAGAAAGAAAACTGAAAAATATGAGAATCCCTTTCTCCTTCTTTCGTCCAATTTTCATTAAGAGGAACGAAAGAAATTGCAACTGCCGAAGTGCCGCAGGCGCGGACAGAGGGAAATGCAAAGTTTCTTCAGTTTCTGAAGATGGCTGGCCGCGGGCTTGGAGAGGGTTCTCCAACATACACTCTAAAATTTCTAACAGTACAAGGGATTTTGTACCGGATTTAAAATGGTTATCTATAAATTCTACAGAGTAATTTCAAAACTAGTCAATTTTTTGGGATTGTTTTTTATATTGGATTTTGTACAGAATTGGAAATGGTTATCTATAAATTCTACAAAGTAATTTCAAAAATAAGGAAACTAGAAAAAAATTGTTTCCACTATTCAGTTGTCAGTTTTTAAAATTATCATGATTTTAATAAATTTTACCAATTTTTGCTAATTAAATGACATATATCACATGATTGTACAAAAGAAAAAAAAAATCCAAAAAAGAAAATTACAACAATACCAAACGAACATTTTTTTTTTATTTTTTATTTTATTTTAATGATAAACCGTCTCTAGCAAACAACCCTAGCACAGGCGCACAGCTACCCTACACAGCCATTCCCATCATTCCCTTTAACCTCTTCATATAATCCTCTGTTATTCCATCTAATTCTAGCTAAAAGATTTTGGATTGGAAGTAAAGTAGAGATGGATTTTCCTAGTCCCTATATGGGTGCGTTTTTGTTTTGCATGACTTAATAACATTAAAACTATGCATATTTGCACACATATATTATGTTGAATATATATAAGTATTCTAAAGTCTGTAACAAATGGCTTGATCTTAATTCTTTAAATTTGAACATAAATTATATGGGGGTATTAAAAATTTATAATCAAAAAATTACACACACCAAAAAAAAATAAAAAAAATACAAAGAGGTATGGACTACGTAAAGGGATTTAAATAATTATGGTTCAATTGAAAATTCCCATATTAGTCAATTATTTGACTAGTTTTGGAATAAGAATTTACGAATAGTCATGTTGGTAAATATTTTTGCTAGATAAATTAACCATTTTAGTAAAAGAGGTATCACAAACATACAAATACAGTTTTCAATTAATTCAATACTAGTGAGGTATAAACAGTGTATGCAACTTCTATATAAATGGACTTTGTTTTATCAACTAGTACATCATAACACACACACCAATAGATAGAGTATAACTTTCCCTAGTGAAAGTGACTAGTTAAACTACTTAAACAAAAAAATGGGCTCATTAATTGAAGTAAAAAAAGAGGCTAAGGTTCATGTAGTTTGTGTCCCATTTCCCGCACAAGGTCACATAAGCCCCATGCTAAACCTAGCCAAATTACTCCATACCAAAGGCTTCCATATAACCTTTGTCAATACCGAGTTTAACCATCGTCGGTTTTTAAGGTCAAGGGGTCCAAACTTCCTAGATGGCCTCCCATCGTCTTTTCGATTCGAGGCTATCCCGGATGGCATTCCACCATCGGATCCCGATGCAACCCAAGATGTCCCTGCCATGTTTCATGCTGTTTTAAATTATTGTCTTGAGCCTTTCAAGAAACTTCTCGTAAGGCTTAATGATCCATCTTCAGGTTCACCTCGCGTCACGTATATTTTATCGGATTGTATCATGCCTTTCACTCAAGATGCCGCACGAGAGGTTGGGAACTTGCCCGTGGTTCTCCTATGGACTGCTAGCGCTTGTGGGTTCTTGGGTTATGCCCAATATCGACCTCTTCTTGAGAAGGGCATTGTGCCTTTCAAAGGTTTATATCCTTGCTCTTTAATTTATCTACTATAAATTCGATTTGCTAGCTTGTAGCAAGTAGTCCATAGCATTAATTTAAAGTTTATACTTTATCCACTATACTTGCTACTCCGTACATTAATTAATAATGAATTACACTTATCAATTTGGGCCAACATGTCAGATTCGGGTTAGATATCAGATCATGCTAAAAAAAAACTACTCCATCCGTTTCATAATAATCACAACACTTTGACTTTTGCACACACTATTCATATGCTTGCTTTGACTATATTTTTTACCATTATATAAAAAAAACATATGTTGCTATGTAAAATATTTTTGGATTAGTCTTTAATTATTATATTTTCTTTATATTAATCATATCTATTATACTTCTTAATAATATATAATTACAAATATTAATAGTCAAAGTTGTGCATTGACGACATGTATGCCGGTCAAAGGAGTTGCGATTATTATGAAATAGAGGGTCGAGTTTAGGTCAGGTCGGGTCGGGTCAGGCTGAGTTCAGATTCTCTCTCAATAACTTTGGGTTCAGACTCGGGTCGGTTCATGTTCTCTCTCAATAACTTCAGGTTTGAATTTAGGTTGAGTTATTGGGTTGGGTTAGGAATTGATAGCTTTATTAAATGGCACGCATGTTAAGAAATCTAGGGAGGGAACTTAAATTAATTGCCATTAAAGGCGATCAATCATCCAATCCCATACATATGGGCTTTGTTTGGCAATCTGTTGTTGACGATTAGTTGTTGACTAGTTTCATTGGCTGGTTTGACTGGCTGTTTGTATTGCCATTTTTCTTGGTTGTTTGACTTTCGACTGTGTTTAAAAACTTGTTTGGTATAATTGATTGACGTATGTATGTTATTAGAAACTTAGATACCTAAAAGCCAAGAGCTGCTCCAAACGACTTTATTTTTAATTTTGGCGTAAAAGCTTTGTTTTCAGCGGGCTATAAAGTCATTTACCAAACAATTTTTTCGACTATTTGATCAAATAAAAAGCTAAAAGGCAAAACCTAATGAAAAGCCACTTACCAAAACAAGGCCATGCATATATAATGTTCAGTTACTCCCTACGTTCCTTAAATATTGTGCGTTTGGTGATTTTATGCGATTAATTTAAGAAAATAAAATAGTTAAAAGCAATGATTAGATGTCACATAATCAATCATTAAGGCATTAAAGTCACCAATGGAAATAGGAGTGTTTACGCTGGGAGTTGGTAGATGTTTTTGTAAAAGTCGTCTATATTGTGTACTTCCTCTATCCCACGTACAGTGTCACTAATTTATCAAGTTTTGCAGATCCTAATTACCTAACAAATGGCTGCTTGGATGCGATCGTTGATTGGGTCCCTAGCATGGAAGGCATACGGTTAAAAGATATCCCAAGCTTCATTAGAACCATGGAAGAAGATGACATATTGCTTTATCTCTTGATGATCTCTGTAGAAAAATCTTGCAAATCTTCATCACCAGCAATTTTCAATACTTTTGATGCATTGGAACAAGATGTTCTCAACGACATATCCAAAATAATGGTTGGTCCTATTTACACCATTGGACCTTTACATTTCCTAATAAAACAAAACATGAACCTACATGAAAATAATGGTGATTGTGGGATCAAGTCTCTAAGGTCTAATCTTTGGAAAGAGGACAAGCATTGCCTTCAATGGCTCGATTCGATGAAGCCAAATTCCGTATTGTATGTAAGTTTTGGGAGCATCACAACCATGACAAATGAAAATCTAGTAGAATTTGCGTGGGGGCTTGCAAATAGCAAACATCCGTTTCTATGGATAGTTAGACCGGATATTGTCACTGGTGATTCCGCGATTCTTCCATCAGATGTTTTAGTTGAAACAAAAGATAGGGGGATGTTAGCTAGTTGGTGTGATCAAGAAAAGGTGTTAAACCACCAAGCCACGGGTGCCTTCTTAACACATTGTGGATGGAACTCGACTCTTGATACTATATGTGGGGGTAAGCCTGTGCTTTGTTGGCCATTTTTCGCCGAGCAACAAACTAATTGTTGGTATTTTTGCAACAAATGGGGCACGGGCATGGAGATAGACAAAGATGTTAAAAGGGACGAGGTTGAGAGGCAAGTGATTGAATTAATGGAAGGTAAAAAGGGTGAAGAAATGCGTAAGAATGCATTGAAGTGGAAAAAATTAGCTGAAGAATCAACAATGCCTACTGGATCATCATGCTTGAATCTGGAACAATTGATGAATCAAGTGTTTATTCCACTGAAAAAATGATCTTGAGTAAAAATATACTTCTAGTTATTATTATGATATTGTATTAAGGTATGTTTGAATTAGAGGTAATGAATAGTGTGTTTGTATAATAGTGGGTCAAGTCAAATATATGGCATAACAAGCAAGTAGGACTAATATGTTTGGTGAATTATGGGCTTGTTGGGCTTTGGCAGCATGTTTTTATGAAAAGTTCAGCTTTGTAAAAATGATGGAACCACTTTTGTGATAAAAGGTCCCATCTTCTATTCTTCTTCAAAAATCCAAGAGCACAACACAACTTAATGAACAAAGCAACTAAAATAATAACAAGAAAAACTTAAAATTATTGATGGAGAAATCATGAACCCTAGGCAATTTGGTGGAGAAATTGAGAAGAGGACCTAGGTTTGTCATTTTTAGTACCTCAAATTCATAGTTGAATTAAGGCAAAATAACATAGGAAGCTTCAAAACTAGGAAAAAATAGCGATCGATGTTAACATTTAATAGGAGGGACAAGGGAGATTTTGAGCTAAAAGGATGATTAGGGTTTATGGGCTATTAACATTACCTTTGTTAGACATTAAGCACATATCACTAAGGATGCATCAATGTATTTACGAGTTCTCAACTACTCCCTCCGTTTCACAATGATGTTCCTGTTTAGAATCTTTGATTTTTAAAAAATAAGAGAGAATCTTCTAATTTCTCTCAATCTATAAGAACAAATATAGTCATGTGGGATCTAGTTTGATTTGTCTTCGTGAGTACATTATTAATATCTAACTTTTATAACTTTTGCTAGTGTGAGATTAAAGATATTTGCGGTCAAAGATAGGTAAAAACTTGCATCGATTTACATAAACAGGAACATCATTCTGAAACGGAGGGAGTACGTGATTAGTTTGAAAAATATTGAATCAACAGTTAAGAGTTATATGGTGGAAAAAACTGTTTGGTACCCCGCTTTGTTGAAAGGTCATTTTTTAATAAAATTTGTTGAAATGATAATTAATTATTCATTGGCAGAACAATAATTATATTGCTTTGATAAGTAAATGTAGGGTTACAATTTTTATACGTAGTAGAGTAAAAGTTAATACCTTGTCAAAATATTGTTAATTAATTTGCATCCCAAGTTAACATTTCTTTGGATCTGCCACTAAGACTACTAACTCTAGTACTCTACTACTGTAGTAATTAACTGGCAACTGTTTACGAAGTATGACAATATTTAAGAACATGACCAAAAATCACGTTAAAGTATAAGCAAAATAAAATAAAACATGGGCTATTCACAGTTTCACACAACGTTGACCAAAGTTTAATAGCAGCAATCACCAAATCATCGTGTTTGGTTTTAATCAATTAATCAGAAGCAGATATGCAAAATCGTCGTGAATCGCATGGGTTTAAGTTTATTATATGTCCTTTGTCCTTTTTGTTTTTTCTCTTTATAATTCGGGCCTAAGATCTTCCAAGATATATATTCCATTCTGAGCTTAATCTCCTTGTCTTAGGGATTACTTGTAAATATGCTTATTAAAAATTCGTAATAATTTTTCAGTGCCTTAATGTAATTAGAGGTGTTCAAAATTGATCCGATTTGACCTGAAAATAGCCATATTCAAATTTAGATTTGAATAGGTACACTGATTTAATAAAAAGGGCGTAGATTACATTTATTGAAGAAAAATAATACGGATAATAATTAACTTCTAAAAAAAAAAACCCCATCTGAATGACAAAATTCTTGAATCCATACTACTTTATTGAAAAAAAAAAGTACCCCTAGTAGGTTATTTGATACCCATATTCATACACCAACCAAAATTATTGCAAATACTCAAAGACAATATATAAATAAATAATATATGATTGAATCATATTATTTCTTGATTATTTTTTTTTGACAAAATATAAAAAAATAAAAAAATGAATCAAAAATAAAAAATTATTTCTTGGTTATTGAGTATTCCGTATTTCTAAGTTATTTTATAAGGTATATTTTGAACCATGTGTTATATATACGTACTAAGTATATATTTTTAATAAAAATTTATGGAATATTCTATTTGGTGGTCTCGTGGTTTCAAAAATTCCACATGGAAGACAAACTTTTTTTTTTAGTCTCTGTAGTGGCCTCGTGGTTTTGCATATCTGATTACAGTGACCTTTTTTAGGTTTATGGCTAACCTTTTTAGTTAAAATGGTTAACCTTTGATTTTTTTTATTAAAAAATTATTTAAATTATATTTTAAAATAATAAAATTAAAAAAAATTATATTTAAAAATTATATATAATAAAATTATATAATTATATTTTAAAAAAATTATATTTAAAAAAAATTATATTTAAAAAAAAATTATATTTAAAAAACAAAAATTAAAATTGTATTTTTTTTTAAATTTTATTACTTTAAAATATAATTTAAATAATTTTTTAATAAAAAAAATCAAAGGTTAACCATTTTAACTAAAAAGGTTAGCCATAAACCTAAATAAGGTCACTATAATCAAATATGCAAAACCACGAGGTCACTACAGAGACTAAAAAAAAATTTGTTTTCCATGTGGAATTTTTGAAACCACGAGACCACCAAATAGAATATTCCAAAATTTATTAAATTATTCTTTCATTACTGTGAGCACCAAACTAATTAGGCTACTATATATAGCCATAACTCCTTAATAATCAATCATAACAATCTTCTTACAAACTCTTCCACTTATTTCAAAGTCTCTAAAAACTAAAAAAAAAAAAAAATGGGTAGTTTTGCAGGAGAAAAACAAGCTAAGATACACATACTATGCATACCATATCCAGCACAAGGCCATATAAGTCCTATGCTAAAACTAGCCAAACTCCTCCATTCTAAAGGCATTCATATTACCTTTGTCAACACTGAGTACAACCATCGTCGTCTACTCCGTGCTAGGGGACCTAACTCCCTTGAAGTTCTTTCTTCGTTTCGATTCGAGGCCATCCCTGATGGTCTACCTCCCTCTGATGCCGATGCTACCCAAGACATCCCTACCCTATGTCATGCGGTTATGAATTACTTTCTTGAGCCCTTTAAGGAGCTCGTTTCAAGACTTATTAATGATCCTTCCCCGGGTTCTCCACCAGTCACAATGATCATATTGGATTGTGTCATGCCTTTCACTCTTGATGCTGCACAACAACTTGGTGGTATCCCGTTGGTGTGGTTGTGGACTGCTAGTGCAAATGGTTTTTTGGGATATTCTCAGTATGGTACACTTATCGATAAGGGAATCGTGCCCTTTAAAGGTACGATTTATATTACCCCTTTGTTACGGTTTTATTAGGCATTATTTGGTACTAATTAAACTACTCCTAATTAATCTCTCCACTTCATTGTATGAAGTGTAAAAATTGACAAGAAATAGTCATTAATAACGCATTATTGCTAGCTACTCTAAGTCTTTAAGTAAAAAAATTATATACAAGTATGAAATAAGAGAAGTTATAAGGAGAAAAATAGAAAGCAACAGAGGAAGTGAATATTTGATCAAATATATTAACGAAGACATACAAGCAATTTAATATGGAGTACTTTATAAAAAGAAAACAAACAAAAAAACAACGCCAAGCACAATATTAAATTAGAGAGATTGAGGGATAGTTTAAGTGGTTAAATCTTTCAAGCCGGTTTCAGAATATCATAGGATGAATTCTCACTCCGCCCTTGAGATCTGCAAATAATATTTATTATACGACCGGCCACTACAAGTCGAAATGCTGTCTGCAAAGTGCAAATAATACGCACGTACTACATATTTGGCATCCCTATGCGGCTTTCTAAACATATGCAAATTTTATTACTCTAATTTATTACTAGTACTTCGTATATATCATTGCAAATGAAATTTATTATTGTCTCGATAATTATTTAAGAAAAAACAAACTTATGTGATATTTTCTTAGATTCATATTGATATCTTGTTAAAAAAAAAAAAAAAAAAAAAAAAAAAAAAAAAAAAAAGATTCATATTGATATGAAGTTTTATATTGTAATATCAACTATTATTCATAAAGTTAATGTAATGTGTATTTTTCATTACCTAATTTCATGATTATGTATGCCGTAAACTATACATGTAAAAAATTAAACATGATTGACAAATAGAAATTAAACAAAAAAACAATAGCATATTTTCAATTACATAACATAAGTTATACTTGTAGTTAATACAAAGCACTCCCTAAGTTTAAAATTGGAGAACTTATCCTCAAAATAGGATTCGTAAATTTAAAACTTATCCTCAAAAAATCAAATTCACATGCCGCTAGTACGTGTAGTGACGTAGCAAGAAGTCAATGTAAAGAGGAAGAGCAGGAGTTGTCACTGAGGCAATGTCCTAACAATCAATACCTCTACTAAATTTATCAACTAAAATAATTAAGATCCACATAAGAAAGTAGGGTATGTATATATGTTTAAAAAGTTATTTAACCAAATATACAATATTTATGATTAAGTGATATTTAATTACAAACTTAGACATCAAAATTAAAGTGAAGCCTATGTGGGAAAAGGGCATAATAATTAATTAATTATGTCGATTGTGATTTGTGAATACTTCCGTATATAATTGCAAACTTTGACATAAACCGATGGATAGGGGGAAAGCATGTGCAATTTTTTGTCATTTGCGACATTAAGTTCCAAAATACAGTAAAAAAAGTTAAATTAATTCTAGCTAGGAGTCTAGGACCAATACGTGTACTGTATTTTGAAAGCTAAAATAAAATACTCGTATTGCTAATGGCCCGTGTATAAAGTGGGAAAGTTTTGTCATTGTTAGTCAAGCTTGGTGGCAAATTAAAGTATTAATGTATTTGATTATGTTGAAAGTTTTGTCATTGTTAGTCAAGCTTGGTGGCAAATTAAAGTATTAATGTATTATATTAATTATGTTATATAGGATAGGAAGATTTGAATTAATGGAAAGGGAAGAAAGATAAGTTGAGTTAATATCTCATGGGTCAAGGAACAAAGGATGAAAATTAAAAAGTAATGATTCATACCGAGTTTAGGTTGCACATAAATATTTAATGTTGCATCATGCTGAGTAAAAAGAAAAACAAAATATTTATATATAATACAATTTTTTTTATTGATACTGACTTTATATTTTTTGAAACAATGATACTGAATTTATTTAGGATTGAATGGATATAACAAGTGTTAATCTATGTAAATACTCCCTTCGTTTCATTTTGTTAGTCTCATATAGTATATCGGGCGTTTCAAAATGGTATACCCATATGTAATATATTCTTTTTTTTTATTATATTTTCATAATATGTGAATAAAAATCTGATTGGGTGTTTAAAGAGTCAAATAATTCTGATTGGTTAATATATGTGCTAGTGGATTGCAGACATGGCAAATTCTTCCAATCAAGATTTATTATAGGGCTTGATTACAGCCAATTCCCATAAATAAAACAAAAAAGACAAAACATTAATTACAAAGCTGCAATCAAATTCCATATTATTAGGATTTCTCCTTTTCTTATTTTAAGTAATTGATTTCAAAGAGGACTAACAAAGTAAAACGGAAGCAGTAATATTTAATGAATCTAATATATATATATATATATATATATATATATATATATGTATATATATATATATAATACAACAACATTTTACATGAAAATTGATATCATTATATATCCTTACTACTATTCCATTGTTTGGAAGCAAATCACCCCAAATCAGGACACTTTACCAATAAAAATGGTTAATAATTCGTATAATTAATTTTTAGAATTTACAAGTATATTAGCTTTTGTTTGGGTCCAATTTAGTCCAATTGGGCCTAGGCATTAAATGATCCAATTAAAAGCCCAAGGTCAAGGTTCATCTCTCCAATTGTGCTAAAGTCAAAGATCAGCCCTCAAGGCAAGCCAATTGGGCTAAGGCCCAACTTCTCCATGTATGAAGAGGTATAAAAGCCATCAATATTACATTTTTACAGACATTCTCATTCATGCTCATTAACTCAAGCAAAGCCTCAAGCAACAAATTCTCTTGCATAGTGTTCTCTTTCTACACATTGTACTGACTTTAGCATCGGAGGGGCCTTCCTCGGCAACACCCCCGAGGCTAGTTTACGTGTGTTTACTGTGCAGGAAACCTTCGGCCCAACATTACTTGGACCGAATCTAGTCTTCTCCGTTTCAGCGGACCTTCGGCAAGGTCCCATTGTTTTCACCCGAAACAATTTGGCGCCGTCTGTGGGGAAGACTTTCAAAAATCTTTAAGCCAAATTTCTAACCAAGATCATCTTGCAATTATCTTAGTAGCAATGGCTAAGAACCGCAAGAGCAAGGGCCTCCGTCAAGGAGCGAGCGAAAAGCCTAAAACCCCTACACCATCACCCTCGCCGGACCAGAACTCTCTCAAGGGTGCCAGCTCGGGGGGAGGATCATATAAGGAGGATTCCCTTTCTCCCGTAATTCATGACTCTCATCATAGGCCGAGTCACTCTTGGTCTAGCAGGGGTGAGTCTGGTCATAGGACACATTCAGTGCCCCAAAGCCAACCATCGGTTATGCGCCCTCATTCCCATACTCGGCCGAGGACCCCTTTGACGGGGCCCAGCTCGGAGGAGGTGGCAAGAGCGCTGGCAGTACTCATGGAGGCGATGAGGGCAAAAAATATGCCACCACCTCGTGATCGAACTCCTCCGCATACTCGGCATCAGCGGAGGAAGCTAGACCATGATGGTGGGAAGCTTCCTTCCTTCCGAGAACTGGAAGAGTGGGAAGAAGATACCTGGAAAAATGAAAAAGAGAGGAAAAAGAACCCTCAATTTTTAAAAGGATCCTCATCCTCACGACCAGAAACGCATAAGAGCAGCAGCTCAGCTTCTCGGCCAGAATCTACTCACCGAGAATCTGAGACTGTTCGCCGAAGCGTCCTCGACCGACTCGGCGGCAAGGAACCGAGCGTGCGCAGTCGCCTCTCGTTCCCTGCGGCCGAGGCCCAGACTTCCCAGCCAGGGACGAAAACCACTCCTACCTCTCTAAGAGGGCGGAGCGCGGTCCCTTCGGCTAGGAACAAGGGCAAGGCCGTTATGCTACCCGCCAGTTCGCCATTCGAGCAATGGATACTGGAAGAGCACGTGCCCACGGTTAAAATACCGTCGCACATCACATATGACGGGACCTCGGATCCGAAGGATCACGTGGCCTCGTATGAGACTCATATGCATCTTTTGCCCCAGATCCGAAGCGACTTGGTGCAAATATTTTCCAACCACTCTCAAGGGGGTCGCGCAAGCGTGGATCTCCAAGGGAGTAAAGCAAGGCTCCATAACAGGGTGGGATGATCTGTCCTCCAAATTTAGGAGCAAGTTTTCCACGGCAAACCGCCGAGAGAAGACTACTGCAGAACTCATGAGTCTGCAACAGGGGGAAACCGAAAGCCTCCGAGACTATCTGACCCGTTTCAGTAACGAGTCATCCAGCGTCTCTCAGCTGGACCAGGGGCTAGCCGTTTTTGCAATGCATAATGGCCTTCAGCCCGGGAAGTTCCTTGACTTCATGGTCATGCATACCCCGCAGACCTTGGAGGAAGCTCTGAATGCCTCGGATAAGTTCATCCGAGTCGAAGAATGGAACAAAGCGAAAACCCAACCTCAATTCGGGGGAGGGAAACAAAGACAAATACCCTTGTCTGAAGGCCAAGGCCATAAGGCAAAGGGAAAGTCAAAGGCCTCGGAGCAATCTTCGGCCAGCGACCCAAAGAAGGAAAAATCTGCCTCATACACAGGCAGATACGAGTCCTACACTCCGCTCTCTCTTCCACGCGCCAAAATTTACAGTGTGACGAAGGAGGAGCAGAGTTACCGAAAGCCGAGACCAATCCCAGAGTGGTATCAGCGAAAAAATAAAAATCAGTGGTGCGAGTTCCACGAGTCTTCGGGACACAACACTGAGGAGTGTATCCAACTGAAGGACCAGATAGAGGACATGGTCGGGAAGGGATACTTGAAAAAATACATCGCGGATCACCGCGAGAAAAAAGAATCCGAGAAGTCAGCAAAGGACTCTCGGCAAGACCTCGACTTCCCCCGGAAGAACAGTAAAAAACCGGAGGGAAAAATTCTCTCCGATCAATGTTATCTCGGGAGGAATATACTCTCGGAGGGAACACAAGCGAAACCTTAGAGCTTTGACTCACTGATAGGCCGTCGTCGAGCCTACCAAAGATAATAATTCCTATCTTGGTCTCACTAACAATAGTAAGGGTAAGAAAGGGTCGAACCCAAGAGAGGCGTTGAATCAACCAC